TTCCTCTGTGTAAAAGAGTAATCATAACGTGACTTGGCCGGGAGGGTATCAGAACGGGAATGTGGATGCTGGCCCGGCAGGCGTGGCTCAGTGGTTGAGCATCGACCTATGCACCCAGAGGTCATTGGTGTGATTCCCGGTCAGGGCACATGCCTGGGTTGCAAGCTCCATCCCCAGTGTGGGGCATGCAGGAGGCAACCGATCAATGATTCTCTCTCATCATTGATGTTTCTGTCTCTCTCTCCCTCTCCCTTCCTCTCTGAAATCAATAAAAATATTTCTTTTAAATCGTTTTAAAAAATGATTTTGTGGGTCAGGAATTTTGGGAGTGCTCAGCTAGGCAGTTCTTGCTGGGGTTTCTCACGCAGGTGCAATCACATGTTGCCTGGGGCTGCCGTCATCCGAAGGCTCAACTGGGCCGGAAGTCCAGGATGGCTCGATCCCATGGCCGGCAGCTGATTCTGGCTGTTGGCTGGTCGCCCAGCTGGGCTTTCAACCAGAGCACCTGTGCATGGCCTCCAAGCCGGTGTTCGCAACCAGAGGAACATTTCTGTTTATGACAGCTGGGGTGCTCCCAGCAGCCGGCGGACAGAGGCAGCAGTACTGCTGACATCCTGCACTCCCATGACACCCACACAACAAAGGACTGTCCAACCCCAGATGTCAGTGGGGCTGAGATTGAGAACCCTGCTCTAAGGCACGGCAATCTCAGGGAGGTCGGACTTCCTACATGGGGGCTGGGTTCCCCGTGAGGGAGCTCCGGAGAGAAGCATTCGGAAACCGCACCTCCTTTTATGACCCAGCCTCAGGAGTCGCGTGGCATCATTTCAGTGCACGCTGTTGGTCGAAGCGGCCCCAAACCTGCCTAGACTGAAGGGGAGGGGACGTGCGTGGACCCCACCTCTCAATGGGAGGAGTGTCAAGGAATCTGTGGTCCCTTTCTAGCCAACGAGAATGCAATGGCATTCAGCACGGTGGACAGCAGGCAGGGCCATACGACCACTGGGGGCTGACGGTCACCGGTCTTCCTGCTGGGAGCTGGCCAGGCTGATGCTGAGTCCCTAGACCAGCTCACAGGAGCAGGTTTCTCTGGGCCGGTAGGAAACTGAGGTCCGAGTTCTGCATTGTACTGTCCTTCCACCTTCTCCTTCTCTCTAATTAAACTACTGTCCCGTCCTGTAGCTGGCCTCCCCCTCACACCGGTACCCTCACCTGTCACTGAGCACCTAAGCACGTCACTGAAGTCCTTTCATTCCTGGCTTGGGCAGGGAAGTGTGCCGTTTGTGATTTAATTCTCCACAAGACATTTTCCCGTAATTGCTAGTCACGGATGATAATTAGCACCTGCTAATTCCTGATAATTAACAAGGTAATACGCGGAGGTAATGCACCCGGGTAATCATCGTAAAAGGCTCAAAGCTGCCATGTTTCCGCTTCTGGGCCCCACGCCCCAAAGGGTAACATCGCATTTCAGCAGCTCCCGCCCAGGGGTTAGCTGGGGCCCCGCTCCCGAGGGCAGCGAGTGGTGAATTGATGACTCTAGTCTTTGTGCTCCTCTCTGGGTATAGAAATAATACGTTTTCCTAGCAGCTTTGTCGAGCACAGGAAAGTGATAAAGAAAATCAAATATACTTAACCTTATTACCTGGACGCGTCCGCCGTCCACGCTTCGGTTTATCTCTTCCCAGCTTATGAGTTTTTCCCCAGTTGGATTCCTGCGAGACGTGGTTTTACATCCGGCTTTATTCATTTATTATTACATGTAACATAAACATCTATCCTGGTGGCAGCAGCTTATAAAAGAGTCTGCCTTCCCCGTCAGAAGATTCAAGTGAACCTGGTAGGGGGAGGGTGGGGTTCGTGGGGAAGGTAGCCACCGTGTAAAAGCAAAGACTTGGACCGACGCCTGGGGACGTGGGAACTAGAAATTCATCCCAGACCAGTCGGCGTCTCCCCGGGGACCCCCGTCCCTGCTCCCACCAACGGAAGACACGGGTGCACCGATGCGGTTACATCGGGAGAAAGTCAGGAAGGCAATGAACTAAGATGCGACGAACGGTGTTTTAAGAATGGGGCGGGCCGGTCATCGTCATCGGCTGCCTGACGATTTTCCACGCAGCCCCGGGGGGAAAGCATTGGACCAGCACCCAAACATGACCCGCTCACACTCTGTCCCCCCATGGGCCTGGCTGGGTGGCCTCCGGTCCTTCTTCCCTCTGCACCTGGACGTGCTTGTATGCGGTTTGGGAGAAATGTCAGTCTTCCCGCCCTGCAAGGTGGTTTTCGGAATCGGGAATGCTGAGTCAGAGCACCTCCAGGAGGCGCAGGAGAAGATCTGCCCGGGGACTGCCCAGAGGACGCCCAGTGGGATCAAGAAACAGCCCTTAGCTTTGGCTGGTGTTGCTCAGTGGTTAGAGTGTTGGCCTATGCACTGGAGGGTCTCAGGTTCGATTCCCGGTCAAGGGCACATACCTGGGTTCCGGGTTCACTCCCTGCCCCAGTGGGGGTGCCTGCGGGAGGCAACCAGTCTATGTGTCTCTCTCTCTCTCTCTATCTCTGTCTCTATCTCTCTCTCTTTCTCCGTTCCTCTCTCTCTCTCTCCTTCTCCCTCTCCCTCTCCTACTCTCTCTCTGAAAAGCAATGAAAAAAATACCCTCAGGTGAGGATTGACAAAACAAAAAGAAAGAAACAGCCCTTAGGTGACACGTGGCCATTTACAAAGACAGTCTTCCAAGGATTGCAATGGCATCACATACGTTTCTAGATCCCCTAATGACCCGCTCACTTCACCCCAGCACCTCTGGGACGGTGCATGTCTTCAGGAGGGAGACGGTGGAGCCAGAGCGTGGGCTTTGGGACTAGACCTCGGTTTCAGTCCACAGTCTGTCACCCACTGGGACTGTCCTGTAGGCTACTTACCATCTCTGAGCCTTGGTTTCCCGATCCACAAAATGGGCCTAACACTACCTACCTACGGGGCTGTTGTGAGGCCCTGATATTATTTATTTGTAAATATGATTTTGTAATAGAAGCATAATGACACATGTGCAATGAATCGGGTGGTTATTTTTCACTCAGGGCCGAGTTCCGTAAGTTTGCCACACACTCTGGAAGGACGCTCCCCTCTTCCCAAGCTCCCTCCAGGCTTCACGCTCGGCCGTTACAGAGCTCCGTGGGTCATCTCCGGCCGCTTCTTTTATTTCTTGCATTTGGAGATTCAGATCCAATCTCCTCTCCGCTTTCATCCCCCCCAAGCCTGCAAGACCCAAGGTTTTTGTTGTCTCGCTGCCAAGATTATCATTAAAATCGACATTCAGCTCCGGCCGGCGGCTAGCTGTCATATTTCAGAAGCCCTGATCTGGCCGCCTTACAGGAGCGCGAGCTTAGCAGTATCTGGCCATCGCTGCTTAATAACAGTCCTTACACCAGCATCGTGCCTGCGACTTTCCAAAGCCCTGGCATGGCTGCTGTGCCATTTCATCTCCCAGCAGCTTGGGGGCGGGGTGGGGGGGGGGCAGGTCTTGTCATTCTTCATGGGGGAGAGCCTCATTCCCAAGGTGGGTTCACAGAACGAGACGCCATTGTGTGGACAGATGCGCTTGGAAAACACTGGAACGAGTGCAGCTAAACGCACTTTCCGAGGCTTTAGCCTGTGAATGTGCAATGAGATCCTTCACGGCCTAGAGCAGCGCTTCCCACCTGAGCGTGGCTTCTGTCCCTTTCCCGCGGGCTCAGCCCGGACCCACCTGTGCCTCAGCCCTGAGTAGGACCCCTGGGTCACCACAGGTGTCCCCGTCTCCCGGCGCAGGTGCTGGGGCCTGACACTCACCGGAACATTAACATTAACGTCCTGTTTCAGCATTTCTGGCTGTGCAGTACTGCCAAGGGTTGACGCCTCGGCCATGTTGCAAGCATGGCCGCTTAGGCGAGGCGCGCCGAGTGCCAGGCCCCACCCTCTGCCTGTCCCTCCAGCTCCCCTGGGTGACCCTCTTCTGGGCTCATCACGTCCTGGCTTCCCTGCCACCGGTTGCTTGGCACGGTTCTCAGGCTTGAGCAGGTACACACTCACCTGGATCTTGTTACGACGTGGATTCCATTTACAAAGTTGGGGGAGCCTGAGCGGCCGCATTTCTAACAGGCTCCCCGGTGATGCTGCGGGCCCGTGGTTCACACTTCGAGTAGCAAAGGCCTTCGTTCTCTGCCCGGGCTGCATGTCAGGGTCACTGGGAGCACTCGGGAAGCCCAGCTGCACCAGGTGCTGGGAGGGGCGCCCAGGTGGAGATTGCTGGGCACTCCCTGGTGATTCTCCATCAGAGCCCTGCACTGGGCTGTGGGCTCCGTGGGGGAAAGGGGGGGCAGTCAGCATCCATCTGCCCTATTCCTCGGGTCTCCCAGCTCCGAGCCCAGTGCCTGGCCCTGGCAGGGATCTGAAGACGCGCTTGTGGCTCACCGTGAACAGACCCTTCGCGTCTCTCTGGCTGGTTCAGAGCTGGCTCCTGCCGATACTGTGTGCTGAGCAAGCAAGAGTCAGACAGCTCCTAACGCGGTGGGTGCAGGAGGCCCCTTGACCTTGGACTGTGGTGTGGCTCCTTTACTTCTGTTGACCTAGAACTACAACTGATCGCAGCCCAGGAGGAAGGCCCCTTCCCCAGAAGCCTGCTCTGCCCTCTGCCTGTTCCTGAGGCTGCGGCTGCTCCCCTTCCTGACGCCGCGGCTCTGCCAGGGTGCACGGGACCCTCCGAGTCCTCCACACAAGAAGTGCCCAGCAGAGCTCACCCTCACCTCTCCTCCTGCACCTGGGCTCTCGGGCAGATCCCCCATCGAGCTGCATGCTCACTGCTTTGTGGGTGCCTTGGTCCTTCTAGGCGGGACGTCTTCAAGGTCAAGGATAGCGTCATGTTCGGTCTTTTTATCTCCCATGTTGGGCACCATGGATTACTGGGTGAATGAATGAATGAATGAATGAATGGCGTTATCTAGCAGGGGGACTCCCACAGAGGACAAGGTGGCCCCTTGTAGCCTGGCAAGAAAGCTGTGAATTCCTGGCAGGGCGAGGAAGAGGGTGGCACCTCTGACCAGTGTCCTGGTGTCCAGAGAGCCGGCCGGCCTGGTGGTCTGGACTCACCAGTTAGCCAGGTGGGGTTCGCTTTAGTTACCTCCCACGGCCCCTCATCGTGGCCTCCTCGGAGCCCTGGCTGCTCCTGCCCGAGTGCCCAGCCTCTCTCCTGTCCCCAGAGCCTGCCCCCTGCTGGCGGGACCACGGCTGCAGGCGCCCACCTGACCGTCCGGGAAGATGAGCACCTGCGGGAGGAAGGCACTGACCCTGCTGAGCAGCGTCTTTGCCGTGTGCGGCCTGGGCCTCCTGGGCATCGCTGTCAGCACCGACTACTGGCTGTACCTGGAGGAGGGCGTGGTCCTGCCCCAGAACCAGAGCACGGAGATCAGGATGTCCCTGCACTCGGGCCTGTGGCGAGTCTGCTTCCTCGCAGGTAAGGGCACAGGGTGAGCCTGCCCAGGAGACCCCTGCCCCACCTTGGGGGGAGAGGCCCCGCTGGAAGGAGGCGGTTCCCCCGGACAATCCTCATGAACCCGGGCCGGGTCCCTGCGGCCACCAGGACCCACCCCAGACTGGAGCCTGGCGTGTAGTGTCCATTTGAGCAAGTCCTCTCGTCTCCTGGGACCTGGGCCCTCCCACGGGAAAGGTGACTGTGACCACGCCTCCCCCCGCTCCACCTCCAGGCTGAGGGCTGCTGGCCCTGCTCAGGGCTACAGGTGCCCTCCGTGCCTGAGCCAGGGCTTCACTGATCTCCATGCCCCACTGCACTGCCAGGCAGGACTGGTTACTGATGCCACCCTGCACACGAGGGAATGAAGGTTCGGGAGGCGACCGGGTCCCCTTGATTCAACGTCGCTGCATCCACCAGTTTCCAGGGTGGGCGATACTTCAAACCCACCTTCCAGAAGGACCCGGACAGGTAACCGATCCTTGTCTTCATAGGTGAGGAGCGCGGACGCTGCTTCACCATAGAGTACGTGATGCCCATGAACAGCCAGCTGACGTCCGAGTCCACGGTCAACGTTCTGAGTAGGTGCCTCAGACTCCATCCTGGGCCCTGGCCAGACAGGGCAGTGAGCAGGGCAGAGGGAAGGGACGGGTGACCACTCTTTTCTTTGGAGCTAACGTCCTCAGACTCAGCTGGTGGTGCCGGCCTGAGCTCCCCGGGACTTACTGTCGATTATTGATCCAGGGGTGGTGACGGGTTGGAAATGTCCCAGTCCTGTGACCCAGGCGAGTGAGAGGCCATCCATACCCAGCATCTTGGTCTGGTTGGGCTGCTAGAGCAAAACCCCACAGACCAAGGAGCGTATGAACATCAGAGATGTCTTTCTCTCGGGTCTGGAGACTAGGAGTCCACGATCAAGGCTCTAGCATGGCCCGTTCTGGTGGGGCCTCTTGCTGTCCTCATACGGCGGGAGGGAGGGGTGAGGGAGCTCTGCGGGGCCTCATTCTCTAAGGGCACTAATCCCCTTCGTGAGGGCTCCACCCTCGTGACCTAAGCACCTCCCAAAGGCCCCACCTCCTGATGCCATCACATAGGAATTTGGGAAACACAGTCATTCAGACCATAGTACTCAGGGAATTGAATCAAGCCCTCTGGCCCCCAACAAGACTGACTCTGGGCCTTGGCCTCCAGAGCTGGTTCTGACCCCTGGGGTGCATTTGCAGTACAATTCCCCTGGGTTAGCACAGACTCCACAGGCTAAGGGCTAAGGGACAAAGCCCTGGGAGGTCCCAGGCCACCGCAGGAGGGGGTGCAGGCCGGGGAGCGCCTGCAGGTGCAGCTCTGGGGACCTGACAGCTGGCAGACACTGCCAGGAAGCCTCGCCTGAGGAGGGTAGGCCCCGAGGAAGGCCCCTGGGGCTGACGGAGGCCTCTTGTCCCCTCCATCAGAAATGATTCGCTCGGCCACACCGTTCCCTCTGGTCAGTCTCTTCTTCATGTTCATTGGGTTTATCCTGAGCAACATCGGGCACATCCGTCCCCACAGGACCATCCTGGCCTTTGTCTCCGGCATCTTCTTCATCCTCTCGGGTAAGTGTGCTGTTTTCATGCACCGTGGGCTTCTGACTCCCCCAGAGCTCTGCTCCGGGAAGTCCATCCTTCCATCTGAGAAGCCATTCATTCCTCTGCCCGTCTGTCCATCCATCCAGCACATCGTTATCAGGCACCTGAAGAGAGCTCAGCCCGCCCTCTGCAGGGTGGTACTTCCCCCTCGTCCAGAGGCAGGGACCCGGGTGACGCTCTTTCCCTTTCTATGAACCTGGCGGTAGTCAAGGCTACCCCGTAGCTCTGAGGCACCTGGGATGTTTCAGCAGCGGCCTGAGGGATGGGAACCGGGCTGAGGGATGGGAACCGGGCTGAGGGATGGGAACCAGGCTGAGGGATGGGAACCAGGCTGAGGGATGAGAACCGGGCTGAGGGATGGGAACCAGGCTGAGGGAAGGGAACCGGGCTGAGGGATGGGAACCGGGCTGCGGGATGGGAACTGGGCTGAGGGATGGGAACCGGGCTGAGGGATGGGAACCAGGCTGAGGGATGGGAACCAGGCTGAGGGATGAGAACCGGGCTGCGGGATGGGAACCAGGCTGAGGGATGGGAACCAGGCTGAGGGATGAGAACCGGGCTGAGGGATGGGAACCAGGCTGAGGGAAGGGAACCGGGCTGAGGGATGGGAACCGGGCTGAGGGATTAGAACTGGGCTGAGGGATGGGAACCGGGCCACGGGAAGTTGTTTTGACGATAGCGATGGACAGGGTCCCCTGGGCCCCCAGTGATGCAAACACAAGTTAAGTGCCAAGGAAGTCTTGAATCATTGATTTTCCTTGAACAGTCATCCTTCAAGAGGCCCTAGTTTAATCACATAAATGGAATTAAACCTGAATAGCTCAAAACAGAGCAATTAGTTATGTCCTGATTCGATTACAGTCACTAACTGATGGGACCGGTGCCTGAGGCCGTCATTGGCACAACGGCACCGTGGGAGCTTGGGCCCCGCCGACTTAACGATGGCTAGAATCTGGACACACTCCCCTTGCCTCTCTGCCCAGCGATCTCAACAGGCCACACCCAGGGGTCAGGTGGGCTGGGCGGACCGTGAGCCACTTGGTCTCCTCAATGATGTTCCTCTGCCCTGGAGACAGGAACCGGAGGCTGCTGCCTCTATCAAGGGGCCTATCTTATTCCTCAGTTTAGCAAAAGCCACCTGCTGGCTCAGTGGTTCTCACCCATCCTTCACATGAGGTCACCGGGGAGCTGTGAAGACGCCCTCGCCCACAGGTGACTCAGAATGTCCGGGGGCGGGTCAGGCATCTACGTCTGACAGGTGATCCTAGCGGGCAGGTGGGGTGAGAACCCTCCGCCTTACCATGGGTCGGGAGGCGGCCGGCCAGGGCGCTTGTTTTCTTTCTTTCTTATTATTTGAATTTATTGGGGTAACATTGGTTCATGAAATTACACAGGTTTCAGGGGTGCGATTCCATAATCCATCATCTGTGTATTGTATTGTGTGTTCACCACCCAAAACTAACTCTCAAACAAAACAGGGCGGGAGCTGTCTTACTGCAGCTCTGGACAGGGTCTCGGGAGGAGAGCGCCTGCTCCCTCTGACCTCCAGAATGAGTGCATTGTCGCCACAAGGCCCGGGCTTTCGGGCTTTCGTCCTGAGCCCCAGGGGAGGCGGGTGCCCCATTCGCACCCCGTGGCCCTTCTCTGAACACCCGCCCTGCACCAGGCCTCTCTCTGGTGGTGGGCCTGGTGCTCTACATCTCCAGCATCAACGACGAGATGCTCAACAGGACCAAGGATGCGGACACCTACTTCAGCTACAAGTACGGCTGGTCCTTCGCCTTCGCTGCCATCTCCTTCCTCTTAACGGAGGTAACGCCCCCGCAGGCTGGGTGGGGAGCGGGGCACTGCCCGTGCAGGCCGGTGGGCGCCAGGCCCCCAGCGGTGAGCTCTCCTCTGCTCCCTCTCTCTGCAGAGCGCGGGCGTGATGTCCGTGTACCTGTTCATGAAGAGGTACACTGCCGAGGACATGTACAGGCCTCACCCCGGCTTCTACCGCCCGCGTCTGAGCAACTGCTCCGACTACTCGGGCCAGTTCCTGCACCCAGACGCCTGGGTCCGGGGCCGCAGCCCCTCCGACATCTCCAGCGACGCCTCGCTGCAGATGAACAGCAACTACCCAGCCTTGCTCAAGTGCCCCGACTACGACCAGATGTCGTCCTCGCCCTGCTGAGCCCACTGCCTACCCCCCTCCCCTGAACCCCCGCCCCCTGCACCCCCCCCCC